GATCTGCGTTTAAATGTGAAGGGAAGACTGGAGAGGCAAACGCGAAAGATTGAAGGGCTCGTCGAAGCATTCGAGACTTGAAGTTCGAGTTCCGAGTCTCTGAGAGCAACCTAGTCAGCAGCAGCGGCAGCACTCGCTATTGCATTTGCTTGATGCGTGATCCTTGTTGCATTGTCCCCGGCCCCTGCTTTATCCTCGGACTTGAAAGGCGTTACCAGAGGGGGCTCGTCCATAGATAGTTGCGACCTCTACCGGCAAGCCATGAAGCTACAGTGACGACCTGCGGTGCGCATACACACACCCCGCGCGCGAGACATGGACCCACAACGCACTGAGCAATCAGATATTATATCGGGGGGCTCGTACCATCACGCGATAGATGACTATAGTAAGCTGATCCTCGTACCTATCATAGATAGATGGCATAATAGTGGATGGCCGTAGAGAACATAACACGCTCGAGCCAACCCCCTCTTCCTCCATTGCGCTATTACCTCTTGTTGCTCTCTTGGTTCTAGCCCGCTATCGTCAATATAAGCACACTCTCTCTTCGTAAACGGACTGTGACAGAGATAGCATGTTAGTATAGAGGGTAATAGTGATACTAGACTGTTAGAGGGCGACGAGTAGATAGATGTCTGTTTGCAATTTTGTTGAAGGGCGATTAGCAGCCACCGCTATCATCGGCGACATCGAAGCCTCTTTGAACTAGTTTCAATGTTGCTCGCCCAATGCTGGGCTTATTATAGGTGAATCGATGCCATCGTTGGAAGGCGATGAAGGGACGCGATGAGGCGGCTCCCACAAAAAGATCAACCGTTCATGTGGCCGTTCGGAACCGGCCATTCTAGTCCACAGTACGACAACAACACCCAAGCATACCACAAAACACTGGTACAGAAAACCAGTGCAAGTATATACACATATAGCGACAGGCACATCCAATAAGCTAAGGTTCACACAACAGCAGATCAGCGAGAACAATAGGCGGGAAGCGATGTGCCACGGTCAAAAAAAAAGAAATTGCCGCACGCCAGAGTTAGATAAGCTGTTTACAAACGTACCGCCCCTAACGAACCGCCTCCATACGGCAAGAAGTTCCTCCGAATGCGACGCCCTTGTGCATTCTTTGCTTTTTCCGACAGGACAAGCAAAATAACGCTAGGAAAGTATTAGGTCTTTTTAGTAGATTAAAAAGGTTAAGAAGGACCGAGCTGAGACGAGATTAGAGCTACCGGAAAAAAAAAAGCCGTGTAATGGGTTATAAGCTGTCAGTAAACTCAGCTAAAGTACGCAAATCCTGATGTATTGCACAACTGCTATCGCTACTGGTAAACGACAAAGTGCTACCGTATCGATGATTCGATTAGAGAATGAGTTTATAGAGGATTGTCAGCATCTAGATGGATGGGTAGGCGAACACCTGATTCACGCAAACGTCCGAAACCGTTTGTTCCTAGTGTAAATGCAAACATCAGGTAAAGTCTTTTCTGCCATAAGTTGGGTCCGGACCCGAATTTTTACTTTGCCAGAGACAAACAATACGCGGAATAAGGCGACTGAACCGATCTACGACGCATTGGCGTCACGCTGACGGAGGCGCTCGCCTGGCAAAATCTGATACTGGCAACCCTTTCGTAGACCAACCAAGGTCTGAAACCCACTACCAATCATAATAATTGTAATATTAAGAGACTCACAAAACGTGCATTATACAGCACTCAACTCATACGTATCAGCTTCATCAGTAAAAGAGAATATTTTCGTTTCAGTATACATATATATATATAGGAGTGTATCTGTACTGCAAAAACGTCAGGTAGGCAATACGACCCAGTGTCGCAAAATGTAGCAACGCCCACTACTGCAGCTTCCTATACATACATACATATTTATCTGATGAAACACTTCCGACAACGAAAACCCGGTGTGTTCGATTAGTGGAGATCTATATGTATGTTCCAACATGTATCATACGGTGTACATCTGAGTAAATAAACCGGTACACGTGAATAGCCGACATCGTAATTACAGCGTATGCAGCTACGTGCGGTCGACAGAAAAAAAGACATCGTATTCTAATTCAGTCATTGCTTCATATTTATTAAGTATACAAATACAAGTTGTTTTGAAGTATCTATAGTGATATCGTGCCGTTGAGATAGTGCAGACGTCTAAAACCTATGTTTAAGTTGAGACGCCGTCTCCGACACGTGACGGGTTCGCGCCAAACGACAGCACTGTTCCCTTTCCACATACATACGCTTGCCAAATATTTTTCTCTGCTCTTTCAACAACGTCAGCGTAGAACACCTTGCGCCCATGTCCCATTGATATAACATTACAGAATATATGGTACGTCGCGCTCATATAGTTAACTGAAAAAAAGGCATAATGTAATTTATTTATGAGAAGTCGCTCACCTCGTCCGAATGTTTGATTGATTGAACTAAGCTTCAGATGGTCATTTTTATCGTGTGTACATAGTAGCCAATTCGTACATATGTATACCTGTTTTTTAAAATTGTCAGCTTTCTTGTCTGACAGACCCTGCATCGATTGAAATGCGTGGTTGTGAAAAAGGACCAACTAAGAAATGGTTTCTCTTGCAGATTGCGGGCTCCCTCCAGGACGGACGCCTGTCATCATGTAGAACATCGACCTCGTAACTGGCTCGTAACACTTTAACTGAACAACCTCATTTATCTAGTTGGCATTGGTGCCACTGTGCTATACCCGTCTCAAAAGGACTTGAAATAATTAAACCGTATATACCTATAATAGAACCTTATAGCGTGGAAGTTTAGGCCATTCCGTTTCCGCCAGTTCCGAAGCAAGTTTCCGCTAAATTCGAGTCGCGCTTTATTATTTATATATTTTATTATTGTATATTATCATTATATGGACGAAAAGTTCCTTTAGAGAATGTAGCATATAAGTTTTTAGGGGCTGCAGCAGACTGATCTGTCATCGAATATTGAATTGATGCCTGATGGTGCCTGGGTGATCTTTGTTTGCATTTGAAAAATGAGCACACACAGCGTCTCAAATCCTCCGTGTCGAGTTCGATTCGTATGGCTAATTTATTATATTTCAACAAAAGAATAAGCTGCCTGAATATCTCGGAATACTTACAACGGTACCAGAATTATGAAATGATACTTCAATGAAAGTTCGCGTATCGAAACAGTCCAAGTTTAACTTAAGGAGAAAGTTCTGTATCTAGTATACGTGTAATCTTCTATTTCGTTAGTTAGTGACTTCAATAAAAGCAAGATCTTGTCATGTATTAAAACTGAGTTGGTGTTTGCCCATCTGCATTGATCGATGGGAAAATGCATCCAAACGGCCGTACGTCAAAAGGTTAGATACAACAAAGGAAAAAACGTGCGACGTTTTCGTGTATATTTGATAAATGGCCTGGTCGAAAATTCGCGAAGGTGGATTTCACCACTATCTAGGTGTATTTCAATGTTCAAAACGATGTACAATTGCGGAGTTTTCGAGAGCGTTGCAAAAATAGTTTTTCTGCCATTATATAGATATCTGCACTAATTGTAGCGTTCAAACTGGCTTCCATATTATATTATCAGGATAATAGATGAACAATAAAATAGCCTTTGTTCGATAAATGAAAAAATTTCGATTTTTCAATGAGCTTTTGATAGTTAACACTAAATCGAACGCCTCTTCTTGGAGCAAGCCACACAAGAACTCTTTCAATTTTTCAATCAGTTTTACATAATTTTATTAGCCGCTGCTGCTATTTATTCTTTTCTGTCAGACAACTTGTTTCTCTCCACGCAAACAGGGGGCCTCGTAAAGCGCCTTCGTAACCGTTGGGGCACTTTTGAAGCCATCTTATTCGACTGATGTTCATATGAGGCACTAACTTTTCTACGATAAATTTTGTACTACAGTTTAATGTATTCGACTGGGTCCTCTCACAAAGCCCGGCAAAAAAATCTGGGCTTCATATCAGCTCAGTCTTTCGTAGGTAGCGTTCCGTCTATAAGTTACACATCCTTGCCGTTAAGTTATTCAAATTCCAATTTCAATTATAAATAGCTTTAATTGGAAAAAGCGCCAGCTGCTAAATTGAATAAGCTTTATTTTTTTAGTTACTAAAATCAAGTTTGTTTCAATGGCACGGTACAATGCAAACAGGCAAATTCTATCCAGCTATAGTATGATCATCGAGAAAAGCTGTTAACTGCTTAATTAGGTTCTCTATTAAACAGCCATGTATAGTTTTTTTAGGTTATAGAGTAAATAACGAAAAAACACTAGCAGACCTTATTTGTTTGGCTTAATTAGTGGACCTCACGTTAATAGATGGAATACATAAAGAATAGATTTAACACATTCTATGCCTATTTTATACCCCATGTACAACGTTCAATCAATACTATGGTAAGGGTAGCTTTACATTGTTAACAATCACACGGTTCCCTTGTATATACTAGATCTTAACTAATGTTCTGAGGGTTTAGCGGTACGAAACGTCTGGATTCAACTTGTCGCAGTGCATCCAACACGGTGACAGCTGGCATTTCAATCAAGAACGTATTCTGTCTAGCAGAATACGCGTACATCGTACCCACTAGAAGAGATAATACGCTCTCAGTTTTTGTGTCGTTGGGATCTGCGGCTGGCGAGAGGACCGAAAGCTTTTTTGCAACAGTTCTAGCACAAGCGGGAGGTCTGCAGTACTCCAAGTCGAACGTTTCTTGTCTATCCAAGTGGGAAGCTAGATAAGCGCCTCGTCTATTCTTCCGCCACCCATCCACATGTATACGAAATGACGAAATAGGGTGTTTTTAATCGCACACATTCATATTATGCGTATTTAATATACAACCGTAGATATAACTGTTGGCTCGAGCCTATGAATACGACCCCAGCCAATCCCATCGTTTCGCTTTAATACCAACTCAAAGAAAACAGCCAGTATTGCCATCGCCGCTCCCGACGTCAAACCAATGCAAAAATAACATAAAATGATGAAAATGCTTAGCGTCCTATTTGCCCTTGTAGCCACCGTCTGTGCTGGACTTACGTCTCCGGCGATCAGCATTGACTCGACCGTCAACTCCCGCGCCGAAAATGGTCTTGACAACTACAGGTTCGCTCACGATGAGAAGCATACTACTGATAGCTCGTTCCACTCGGAGGCCGACAACCCCTGGGGTGTCATCGGGCCTTACGGACTTGCCGATATCGACGGACGCCAGCGTGTTGTGAACTACGTTGCTGACAAGCTTGCATTCCGTGCTTCAGTCAAGACCAACGAGTCTGCAATCGCTCCTTAGGCAGCTGCGGCCACTTCGATTAGTACCCCAGGAACTGCCGCCCTTGCAAAAAGCATCGTAGCTCCGGTGGTAGCTGTGGCCTCGTATGATGAATCGTTTTCTCCGATTGCTACGCGCACCATTGCTGCCCTGCACCATCTCTTGGAGTGGCCTACTCTATAGGAATCTCGCACGCATCCCCAGTTCTTGCTAAACGCGCTATTTGGTGATCTATTTTCGCCTAACTAATCTTTACATTGCCGTCTGCCGCGACCCTCTTTTCATCCCCTTTTTCGGTCTGTACGTATTTTAAACTCAGTTCATTTCTACTGTGGGCAACGTAATCAATTTCGTTTTGTCAACGAGGGTTCTGCACTGAAGTGTTTTGTTCACCAGGCATTGTTTTTTCCACCTGTACCGCGATCGTTCAAGATGGAAATAAAATATGTATCCATCAAACCGATGCCACTGATTACTACTTCTTTTTGCGGATGATCGAGCTGATCTGATCGACATTTGTCGTTTGTAACTAGCAGTACGCTGGTTCAAACCCACTGGCATCCAAGAAACCTGAAGGATAATAATCGAAACTAGAAAAAACCCAGATACCCGCTAGGCGATTTCGCATGTTAGTTGCCGGATGTCCATTACTAAAATAATGAAAAAGGTATTGCCATAGCTATAGGTCGCGCTTTCTCTTTCATAACACGTCACTCACCTTGAAAGTATGCGCTGAAGCGTTTACGTAACAGGTATTCATCTCATAGACAGAACTCACCTGACCTATTTCTATCACACGACAATTTTGAAAACGTAATAAAACGTACGTCAAAGCAGCTACGTTATCCTACGACAGACTCTCGTACATTTAGATTTGAGCAAATGCGTACGATTATTCGAGCTACACGAATAGCTCTTTCTATCGTTCGTTATTATACAGATACATCTTAAGACGACCACATAAAAGCAAAAATTGACAATATCGTGAAAGTCTGATGGTGTCTAACCAATTTCGTAGAGCTCGCACGGCTACTGTTACCAAAATTAAGAAGAAGTCAAAGCACTACAATCTCAACCGTCACCTGTTTTTTTTTTACGAAATCTGCGGCCAGCGGTGACAGCGAATCCAACCATTCTCTTCCGCTTGCTTTACCATTGTTTTTTCTCTCATGGCAATTCTTCTCGGATTGTTCTCACAATCTGCCCTCGGTGGCTTTTCATTCTGTGTCGATTCGGTCCCCTTTCTCAATCGCCGGTATAAAAAGGCGGGAACAACCATTTCGCAGTTTGGCTGCTATGGCCTCTGCTGCCGACGCTACTGGGACAACTATTGCTGTTCTGTAGCTTTCGCTTACCACCACACAGGGCACGCTTCATAGCTACCGAAGGATCCGCTATCGGACGGCGACTCTCCTTCTCTAAGAGGATTGAGTAGCGCAGAACGATACGGAGGGAGGGCCAAAGCGGGACAGGACGGTTTCTGTGTCCAAGAGGAAAGGGATCAGCGACCGGAATCGCCACGATGGAAAGCACCGAACGGTAGTAGAATGGCACGCCGTTGGCGGCCGAGGGTGCCTAAGTATGTAGCTCCGACTCGGGTGATTGGCCTTAGCAGTAGTGATCGCGACGCCAGGGGTAGCCCGGTTCAGAGATGAAGCAGATCTGAGGGTGGTAAGGCTGACTGGCTGGCTGGTCGCGGTTGCTGCAAAAAGTAACTGAGGACCCCCACCCACAGAACACGAAAGGCCCGGGGTAGGGCTATGTCATCCACGTGTGAATGACTCGCAAGAAAGGAGACCACGACGACGTTGTAAGATACGACATATGGAACATGCTTCTATCCCCCGTACACCCTCCCACCCAACGTGTACACACATTGTAATCCGACTTCCTCTGTCTGCTTTTGCCGGGCCACCGAATTCCATTGCTGCTCCGTGATCCATGAGCTCGGCCTAGCCGCTGCAACTGCTACTGGTGCTGCGCAAGCGCTATGATCCCCCTCATACATGCACTTGCGGCGCGCACCCCTCATTTTCTTTCTCCCCATCTGAGTAATGCTCGTGTCGTTCGGATAGCAAACACTGGCGTGGATGGGCAAGTGTCCCCGAGAAACGAAACGGTCCCCCTAAGAATGGGGCTCCTTAGTCCTTGGTCCGGGGCAAGGGACCGGGAAGAGACAGGCACTGTGCAGGAGCAACGTCGTGTTGGCAATTGAGCCAGCCGTTGAACTGCAGCTCGCCCTGACACGGAGTCCTGCATTCTGTTTCGTTTCGTACGATAGTGCGCTAACCCAATTGGGTGGCTGCTGCTGCACCAAAAATCAAGTTTGCTCAATAGCGACCAATTGAGCTCTTTGACTGTAGCCACTGCTGCTTGTTGTACCGATTGCTTATGATGTGTTACTGGTCGCGCGAGCGAACGAGAGAGAGAGAGAGAGAGAAAGGTAAAATGGGAGCGAATGAGAGACGACACGAAATGCACGGGAATGGGGTCGGGAGTTGGGTTGGTCGTTTGGAGAAGAGTCGTGCGATGGGTGCGATGGTCAACGGAGCAGAAGAGTCCCGCCGCTTTTGTCACCTCTGCCTCTGTTGACGCGTGCCCCACACCATCATCCCCAAGATGGCTAGCCCAGAAGGAACAGCAGTAGCTAGTGCCATTGTTGCTGCCCCTGTAGTTGTGGTCAACATTGTTGTCGCCGTTCGGAAACGGAGTCAGAGGCGGCGGCGGCGGCGATCATCCCGCTGCTCGGATCGTTGTAGTAGAGATCAGGACAGTCTGGTTACCCACAATGGTTTGTCTGTACGTCAGAACCCGTAGCATAAGCTTTGAACACCGTAGTGCTTGACTTACGCTGGTGATTTCGACCAACGTAACTCAAGCAAACGACTCCGACAAACGGTACTACGCCACAGAGCACCACTGGCACCCGTCGCTAGCTTCTAGCGGACTTATTCGCTTTATCATTGTTGTTCTATTGCAGCATTGTCGCAGCGGTAAAGAGCAAATCACTGTTCGCAACGGCAATAACGGAGCTGCCCTACCAATACGCCTTGGAGATGAACGGCGATGACAGCAACAGCGACAACGACAACAAAAACAACAATAGATAGGAGGGCTCGCACGTAGCAATATCTGCCTGTTCTTACGTGACAAATACGCCCTATAATGAGGCTGCGCAGAACAGAAGTTCGGTGTATCAATGTCAGGCCGCCGATTTTGCCTTTTTTGAGCCTGTTCAGGCAAGACCAATTATACAGGCACATGCCTACGTATAACAATACGCTCTGCTACCGAAGGATGACTGAACCGCACTCTACTAGCAAATAACAATTACTGAGATAAAACACAGATTTGAACAGCGAAAAATATTAGAAAAACGGCGAGCGCAGTGAAACAGGACATCAACGCAGTCGAATAATAGCAATAATATAAGTAATACTTGATAAACTGAATTACTTAATCATGTGGGTGTGTTCAACAAATTTGTAACCAATAGGTAACATATAAATCTCTCTTTAATCTGAGATCAGCTTCTTTATAGCTGCGATGAGCCGGCTAAATTTTTCTATGAAGAGTAGAATAAGACGCATTGAGGTAGCAAGCAGAGTATGCGACAAACAGGATTTATCGGGTGTGAGTATACTATACGGTTTGGGATCAGCCTAATCAACAATCATCTGCATATCTTTTCCTTCTTGCAAGGTTGTTGACAGCCTGAGATGGCTTTAAGGCAGATTCGTTTCGTTCTGTATGTGTGTGTAATAAACAGTTGATACGTGCTGCTCGTTGGGCTTATATTCTTGCATGCGTGATCCATCTGCACAGTTGCTTGCCGAGCCTATGTAAGCAATTGAGCTTTGGGAGAATACGATGGGACGTGTAAGGACAATATTTGCTGGGTAGAGCCTGGTTCTAGCTTATACGAACTAGCTCCTACCGGTTCTACAACTGGCCACTCATTGTGGCCTTTCACCAAAAAACAT